TTTTTTTTTATCCTTTTGTGACTATTTTAACCCAAAAAATCCCATTTGAACTTCTACCAAACGAATGCTAAGTGGTTTTTCTGGTTCAAACTTTCTCTTAGAATAATACTAACGATCATGAAAAAAATATCATGAAATGCATCATGAAAATTTTTCATCATTTGATTAATGTGTGGTGTTTTATTGTATGTGTAATCTAAAGGTGAAAAATCTTTCATAACTATTTTTATGATATTTTTTTCATGATTCCTAACATTATTCTATACAGTAGGGAATTTTTGGGGGGCATTTTAATCACCAAACCTCAAAAGGGTTCACTCATGTATTTAGCTTTGGAAAGCAAATTTCAAACGGTCAAAATTTTGATTTGTCCAAAGTTAGGTATAATTCATTTAAACTTAAACAGTTAGAGAGAGGGATAAAAGAGTTAACTAGAAAAATGTAAGGTAGTTTTACATTAACTTGCTAGGCCTCTCATGAAAATTATTTTGCTCATTCACTTTATATTATACCTATTTTAATGGGAACTTACGTTTAAATCCTACTAGATGTACTTATTGTCCAATAGATGCACTTATTTTTTAGCGATAATTTAAAAAAATGGTCATAATTTTTATTTTTACTAATTATTAATTTTTAACGACAGATTCAAAAAATCATCACAAAAGTATTTTTTTAGCAACGATTATGATAGGACCAACTTTCAGGGACGAATTAATAAGACTTAATGAGAATTAAGTTTAATTTTAAGACTGCTGTTAATTTATCTAATTTTTATTCATTTTATATTAAGTGAATACCTATTTTTTATTATCTTTTCTTTCGCTTGAATCCATTACTTTGTATATGCAAATGAACCAATTGAACAAAACCATACTACATCTCTCAGTTATCTTGGTAGTCCCAAAAATCCGAACTAGTAAAAGAAGTCAAGGTCGCAATTCATTTTGATTTGAAAAGTGAGTAGGCATTTGCAGTTTGCTTTTCTGTGACTTTCTAATTTTTTTTGAATTTTTAAAAGCCTTTTGACTTGATACCTTTGAGAAGTTGTTATAAAACCATTTTTTTTATTGAGTGAAAAAATGAAGGGTAAATTATAAATACACTTTTAAAATCTGATTAAAATATGAATCGCTTCTTGTGGTATTGGAAATTATATTTCACCTTGAGATTTCTAATTTCATAATAAATCGTCTTTTATTTAATAAATCATCAAGTCAATTAATAGTTTTTAATGATGTTGAAATATATATGTTTCAATTAATAATTTATGTATTTTAATTATTATATAAGAGAGCAATTATGAATTTTATTTGTTTAGTTAATTTTGTTAAATAAATTTTTTTAATAAGGGAGTATTTGTAATTTTCTAAATCACAGGAGACAATTTGTAATTTAAGTAAATCTCAAAAATATATTTGTAATTTATCCAAAAATTATTAATGTTACATTTAGTAACTACAGGTTGGGTATTTGAAAAAGTCTCATTCTTATATAGAAAACGATGGCATTTTTTTTTGTTAGTAACTACAGGTTGGATATTGAAAAGAAGTCAATCAATAATGGGAAACTAAATATCAGTCCCACCATATATAAATAACCTAAATGCCACCACCAAACATATCCAACTTCACCCTCTATCTCTCTGTAGATGTCCATCTTTCTCTCTTTCTCTCATATCAACTACCAAAGACAAATGACTTATAAAATCCTAGCATGTCTTTTTTTGTACCCTCTCTTCGCAGTAGTTTCAAGCGAATGTGAAACTTTGAAAATCGCACCGCCGTTTCCCAAGCCTGAGGCCAATTACAAAGATGTAGAAATCGTGAATGGTGTATGTGCTAGACTTTACGTTCCCAAGTCTGCCAATCCTAATCAAAAACTTCCTCTCGTAGTTTACTTTCATGGCGGAGGCTTTGGCATGTACAGCGCCTTCTTTCCTCCCCACGATTCTTACGTTTATTCTCTTGTTAAGAAAGCTAATGTTGTTGCATTGTCTGTTGACTATAGACAAGGCCAGAATAATCCTTTCCCCATTCCTTATGATGCTTTTAAACGAATTTTCTATTCAAGTGGGTTGCTTCTCACTCTGCCGGACATGGTCATGAGGAATGGCTAAATAACTATGTTGATTTTAAACGAATTTTCTACTCTGGAGATAGTGCAGGTGCTAACATTGCATACAACATGGTCATGAGAGCAGGTTCAGAGAAATTAGATGGTCTCAATGTTAATGGAATTGCTCTAATCCACCCATATTTTTGGGGAAGCAAACCAATTGGAACTCATGAATCCAGGGATGCTACTTCGAGATTAGAAGCAGACAATATTTGGTTGATTAATTCACGAAATGCATTTGGATTGGATGATCCAAGACTTAACCCACTTGTGGATCCAAAGTTGTCCACCCTTGGATGTAGCAAGGTTCTAGTTTTAATTGCTGAGAAAGATATATACAGAGATAGGGGTTTCTATTACTATGAGGCATTGCGTACAAATGGGTGGAAAGGAAATTTGGAAATTATGGAGACTCCAGGGACTCATGTCTTTCAATTGAACTTTCCAGATTCAAAATATGCTCAAGAAATGCTTGAACGAATATCTTCTTTTGTGAACAAACCCTAGTCCGGCGACTTCTTAGCTGCTTGCCATCTTTAATATACAAGCATACCTTCATTTATGTATTCTCATATAATTGTTGATATTTTCTTGTTATTTGTTCATATTTGTTCACTTATATAAAAGTTACTACGCATGAACATGGTTACAGTAGAAGAGTGGCTTTGAACTTTTCAGTTTGTTTTCGACAATATGAAAAAATAATAAGAGAAAATTTACTTTACTCTCCAGTACTTTTGCATCAAAACACTTTATTACCTTATAGTTCAAATATTCAATTACAATTTCAATCGCAAAAACAAGAGTGACAATTACAATATCAGCACCTCAGTACCAATCTGCCACAAAACTTCATCGCCCAAATCCCAAAATGCATCCCTTTAGAATGCACATATCAGCAAAGCAGAAGAAGCATGAAAGCAAAGAAATATACACAAAATTTAAACCACCAGCACCCCTACAAGGATTATAAAGATTGACAATTGGAATTATTGAATTGGCAGTTTGAGTTACAAGTAATGTTACGCATCATGAAATAAATATTTTGAAAAGTTTCATGAAATTAATCTAAGGGTGATTGTATAACATATAATAAAACACTACAAACTAATTCAAGGGTGGAGAATCTTCATGAAGGCTTTTCATGATATTTCTTTCATGACGCTTAGCATTATTGTTGAGCTACCCCCGGAACTAAGCTAACTAAAAGCCTACAAGTAAACAGGGGCAACACGAAGAGGCTGAGCCTTTTTCAAAGTAAAGCCAAACTTCTCCTCCATGTTCATTTCCTTAGGAGAAATCCCATCTACAAGCTTCCAATCAAATGAGAATATGAGCGAACCCAACATCAAGTGAAGCATCCTCATCGCTAATGGCAATCCAGGACATATTCTTTTTCCTGCACCAAATGGAATGAGCTCAAAATCCTGTCCCTAAACATCAACTTGTGAACCCAAAAACCTCTCAGGCATAAACAAGTTTGAACTTTCCCATGTACTTCGATCACGGCCAATACCCCATGCATTCACAAGCACTTGTGTACCCTTTGGAACGGTGAATCCACAAACTTCAACATCTACTTCAACTTTGCGAGGAACTAACAATGGAACTGTTGGGTGTTTCCTAAAGGTTTCTTTGACAATCGCTCGCAAATATGATAACTGAGGGATGTCTGATTCTTTGACTTGTTTGCCTTTGCCAATTGTTTTCTCAAGCTCCACTCGTGCTTCGAATAATGTCTTTGGGTTGTGTAGTATCTCGGCCATTGCCCATTCCATTGTGCTTGGAGTTGTCTTGTCCCCGCAATAAATATGTCCTAAACAAACTAATAGAGTAATGTTATACAAATTCAACTACCTAAAATTTTATTGAGCATAAAAATAAAATAATAAACTAACTAAATTTGTAGTTGGTTGCCAATAGTTAAGTCATTCACGACCAACTTATTTTTTGGTCGCCAAAAGACGACCTTCTGCGACCAGATTTGTATTTGGTGGCCAAAAATTAGCTATTAGCCACCAAAAAATTGTGGGTCGCGAAAACATACCCATCAGCGTTCAAAAAAAATTTAGTTGCAGAAAGTAGACTATTTGCGACCAACTCAAAATAGGTGGTCGCTAAAAGTGTTTTTTCTTGTAGTGACAACAATCATGAGTTGTATCATGCTAGACCCATTTTTTTTCTTTTTGGTGAATAATTCTGTATGATTAAAAAAATTTCAAACTAAAACATCACTACAACAAATGACACTTTTGACGACTAGATTTTTTGTTGCTAAAAATTGGAAATTTAGCCACCAAAGGTTTATGGCAAACTAAATCATTTAGTCGGCAGATTAGTCGGTAACCAATTGTTGGGAAAAATATATAGTGACTAAGCTTCTATTTGTCACCGATACACAACAATTGGTAACTAAAATTTTAGTTGCCAAAAGTTTTCAAATAAAACGTTTAATCACTGATAAGTTTTTGTCGCATCATTATTACATTTAGCGACCAAACAGTCTAGTCGCTAAAAATGTAAGGATATTTTTTTTTGTAGTGCAGAGATGACATTTTTTTTGTGACGATTTTTTTATGTACTAACATGACCTTATATGGAAATAAAAAGTAAAAAAATATCATGTACTAAAAAAAGTCAAAAACAAAAGTCCATAATTTCAATATATAAATATAAATTTGGTTTAGTGTAAAGCTATAGGGTTTTGCAAGAATTGGTTTTGCTTCGATTAACACTAAATTTAGAAACTAACCAATCATGATCAGTTCCAAAATTTTGAATATGGGACCGAACCAATCCTCTAATAGAATGAAACGAATCCAATGTCATATAGCTTGGGTGGTGACTAAGCTAGTTACCGAAGCTCATTGATGGTCGCTTGTGACTGGTCAGATTTCACTGATGGTTGGTTGGTTGGTTGATTGGTCGACGATTGGTGGTGGGTGGAGTCATAGTTCACTGATGGTTGGTTGGTCAGCTGATTGGCTGACGATTGGCAGTGGGTGGTGGTGGATGGGGAGGAGAGAGTGACAAATTATTTTGAAAAGGAGTAAAAACATTTCTTTTCAAAAAATTTAAATTAATTTCACTTTTTTTAAAACAAAAATAATATACGTGACAAATTTTCATTTCTAGTTTTAAAAAAAATGAAAATAAAAAATAGGCATGTTTGGAAACATTATGTATATAATTTTTCTATTTATATTTATAAAATATTTAAAATTTGTAAATAAAAACTCGTATGGTGTCTATTTTTATTTAAAAATTTTGTAAATAATTTACAAAATTTAATAAATTCTTATAACTATGAAAAAGTTAGTTTCATTTGTTTAAAAACAAAGTTTTCATTGTTTCCTCCTTTACCCACCACCCACCGATCTTCAACACTATTGACTACCGTTTCTAACCAATATCGCCGATGACCTCTTCCGGCCACCATCTCTCACTATTAATAATCACTTTTGGCTGCCAACCACCAACTCTAAAGATTAACAACCACCTTTGGTTGCTAACAACGAACTCTCATGTGCGATAATCCACGTTTGACCACCATTTTTTTGCCGGAAATAACCTTTGACCACACTACAAAAAAAGTCACTTTTAGCTACTAAAATATTAGTAGCCAATTGCCTGTTTTTTGGTCGCCAATGACATTCTGCGACCAGAAATTTTGGTCGTTACATTTGTCGCCAAAACCCTATCAGGAAAGGTCTTGGAGGGTTTTGCTGACCAAAAAACCTTTGGTCGGCAAAAAGCAAGTCTTTGGCGACCAAAATTTTGGTCGCCAATAGTCAATTATATTTCTTTAAAATCATACATTCACCGACTAATGTTTTAGTTGCCAATAGTGAAGGAAACGCCGACCAACACCTTTAGTTGCCAAAAGCTTCAAACATGAAAAAAAAATATATATTGATTCGTTGTAGAACAATTTGATCTGCTCTTGCGAAAACTCGAATCGCCAACCTCCTGCACCATAAACCTTATGCACCACACTCTTCCCACTACACCTCTATAGCATCACATGATTATATATGCAACATATATTATTTATATAGTATATACATCCATATTAATATAAACGTATATGTATAAACATAATTATTTTATTGAATATAATTTATGTAAAATAAACAATTTACTAGCAAAATAAAAAAAGACCACTCTTGGCGACTAAAAATATTTTTTATTCGCCAATTCTATACTTTTGGCTACTAATTGTTTTTTAGTCACTAAAAAACTTAACTTTTGCCGACCAAAGTCGAATTTGGTCGCCGAAGATGCATTTTCAGCTACGAAAATTTTGGTCGCCAAAAAATTTAATTCCCGCCTGAGGATTTTAGTTCTCCCGCGCTAAAAATGACCACTTTTGGTGACTAAACTTATTTTTTAGTCGCCAATTGTAGACTCTTGTCTACTAAAATTTTTTTAGTCGGTAAAACCCTTATAATTAGCGACCAAACTTATTTTTAGTCGCCAATTGTAGACTTTTGGCTACTAAATTTTTTTAGTTGCCAAAAAGCTTTACTTTTGGCTACTAATTTTTTTTAATTATTATGAAAATATTGCATGTCTTTTATCTTATAAAATCTTAATATTAGGGACGTTAAAAAAAAAATCTCCTTGATTATCCAACTTGATTAGTGGAATAAATAATTTCCTATTTTTAACATTTATTTTGTAATAAATATAAAAATATATAATTTCAATTATAGATTTATTTTGTATTATTAGTTGTATCATTAAAAAATCTACTAATTTTGTTAGAATCAGTATCCATTAAAATCTAATCGAGATAACAAAAATTATAACTAAACACTAACATTATATGAGTCCGGACTCATATAGTGTTAATGTTTAATCCTATAATTCACCCTACAAATCTTGGCCAGAGGGACAACAATTGGAAAGAGTACTAACCAGCAACAAATGCTGGATATGAGTTAGATCGATAGAGTCACTCTGATCAACTCCACTGATATTGAGAAGAGCCTCCAACACATCATTGCTTGAGAGACAACCCTGTGTTTTTTTCAACTCCAATCGTTGATCAATCAAACGATCAAAGACTGCAATAAGCCTTCTAAAGTCAGAAGTAGTTTGGCGCCTAATACCTTGTGGATCAATCTTCTTCAACACAGCGAAGTAATCTGACAAGTTGGGCGTGCCGAAGTGCTCCATGGAACTCCACACTGCCTCCTTCAGCTCTCGTGCAATGTCCCTGTTCCGATCATCCGACAATTCCATGGAAAAAATTGTGTTCGACAGCAAATTAAACGTTGTTCTAAATGCTGCTTTGCAAATATCCATTGTCACACCTAGCTCGCAGCTTTCGCGAACCTCGGCGATCAGTCCTTGCATCACTTGATGCCGTAGGTGTTGGTTTGCGTCGAGTTGTTGAGCGGCAAAAACGTGGGAATTGTAGATTTTGCGGTGTTTTCGCCATTGAGTTGACATAGGCATCCAAGCGGCGGAGAACTGGTTGTGGTTTTGGGCTCGGACGTTGT